TGATAATCCAAGGTTAGTTGTGAAATGAAATAATTTAATACACATATATACGAAACATCGGATAGCGTCGAAGGCGCGCTCTGATTGGCTGCTCATATTCCAATTATCCTTCGCTATTCACGGCCTCCGCTCGATAAAAATTGTAATTGTTGCAGGAATAAATGTTGAAACTGTTAAGCGTATACTAACACAACTATTGATCTCAGTTTCGGTGGCTAGTGGTGACTGTTTGCTGAGCCGCAAAGCGGTTCAGTAAATATCTACCAAATATTAGGTAAATCTTTGTGAAATATTATATAGCTCTCATTGGCCGCTGAGATTACTCAACTGAAATCAGTTTTAGTACTTAGATTACACGCTGTCTCAATTGACACATTCAAATACTTCAGATAAAGTACTTCTTTACTACTACTAAAAAAAAATTTGTTTGAAGGATTAAAAGATTTACTACAACCTCAATGTTTTTAATTGCCATAGTGTATTAAACTGTAGGTTGTAACGTTATAGCTGCTTTTGTTGTCTTATCAGAGTTGTCGTCAACCGACAAGCCAACAAGTTATGGTTTCTTGTAAAAGTTTTGCCACAAAAGCCACTTGGGGATGTCAAGGTGTGTAGGAGTTCTTGTCTTTTTCAAAGCAGCGTTTTTCTATTTCAGTTAAGTGTTGAAAATAATCCGGGGTAGTCCTAGCTTTGCTTTACCGCTTCCTGTTGCTCAAGGTCGCGAACTTTACCGCGGGCGAAGAAACACTCGTTCCGAACCTCTCTCTGTTAGAAGAACTGTGGTATGCATGAGGTCTTCTTTAAAAAAGACGATAATTGGTCATTTACTGTCATTATTTTTCAGTTTTCCATGATCATGCAGTATGAATACAAACACATAACAACAGCCCTGGTGCGAGGCGGTCAGGAGTCGGAAGAACAAGTGGTTACATTGAAACACAAGCTACATATCAACCTCGGCCCAGTTCTGACCGAGTCATAAACTTAATATTATTGATATTTATAGAACGGTAGAGAGGGAAATATGAAAGTTGTGGTCCAGGATAGGGATAAACTATTGTGCATTTTCATATGTTCTGTGGGGTATGTTGGTGCGTCGTCTTTGTTATCGTGGTTGTTGGCTTAGTCGTCGCTTCCTGTAGACTTTTTTTTCGTAACTGTTGACTTGGCCGTAGTTTTGAAACATCGTCATCGCTAGCTTTTATTTTCGTCTCCGTGACTGCTAATGCGCCTATCAATTCGAAGCTTCAACATCCTTTCCCCTCGGGAAACCCCCGACCATCTTCCTTGCTCGGGGGTGGGGAATTTTAGCCTGGTCTTGCTGGGGTTGGGAATTTGAACCAGAAGTGTCAAGTCTTTCCAGTGGAAAGTGGAGGTGGTAATTTGAACAAACCAAACTTCAAAAGTTCAAATGCCGGGGGGCGGGGGAATGGTGAAGTTTTCGAATCTCGTAGTTCTTCCAGAATCTAACGCAGGACTTCGACGTCTTCTGTAGCATGATACTAATGAATTTCAAAACTTGTATTTTTTCTATTTTTACGCACATCTTTCGTTGAAAAGAGCGAGACAAGGCAGATTAGCAAAAAAACATTAACGCGATATAAAAGGAGAGGGATCAATGCTAGTATCTGGGTAATTGCGCACCTACTCCTCCCCTAACGCATCAATAACCCCAGCTTGTCATCAGTTGCCTGTGCTTGGGTTAGGGGAGGGGTAGGTGCGAAGTTGCTCAGATCCAAGGAGAGTCTTAAGATTGTCAACGAAGGAAATAAGATAAGCCAACGCCTCAGGGAAGGAGATGAATAAATAAATGACAGGTTTGCAATGAAGGAAGGCCCGATTTAAGTTAACCCTTTACACTCTAACATCGGTATACAAATTCTCCATACTGTTCTCTATACGTTTCCTAAGGTGCTGACAAGGAGAATTTGTCTAACAATCACGAGCTTGTAATCATTTCCGTCATTCTCGTGACCTTCATGTTTGATTTAGGGGTGATATTGTAAGGAGAAATTAGATGCTGGTCACTTGTTACTGGTTATTGGTTACATCTTGGTGATGAGGGGTTCCAATTAGCAGCCCGCAATACAGTGGAACCTGTATCGAGGGCCGCTGTATTTAGCGGTCACCCTTTATTAACCATCGCTTGTCAAAGTCCCAAATTTTTTCGCCTTACTGTAATTTTCACTTATATTAAGCGGCCGTGGTCAATCTTTACTAATACCTCCACCTGTGCCACTAAAGCGGAAGCACTTAAAACTAAGAAAAATCCTTCAAGTAAATCAATCCATTTTTCTCTCCCGAAATCAATGTATTTGGTACTTTGAAGGGAGTTTTTGTGCACCGAGAGGTCAATTATGGGTCTAAGAGACACTTTTTTTATAACACCACTATACTGTGGAACCTATTTTGATCAGTCAACCCGCCTTTCCCCGTGTACATACAGGTTCGAATGTATGTATGAGAGAAAACTGGACGCTAGTTGTGGAGAGATGCGCGAAAGGGTGGCCGGGAAGGGTGGGTGTTTTGCGTTGCACGTTCTCGGGCTTTGAAGTGAAGAGCAACATGGATAACTCAGAGGTACTACATTTGAATTTAGTGCTGGATCTGGTATCCTTTTTCAATATTTTCAGAGGAGACATGGAGAGAATCATCGATGAACATGCCCAAAACTTGGCACAAGCTTGTCGCGATTATCCCGATGTAGAGGTTATTCATTCCGGAAGCGGATTCGAAGGGCTTTCTCTTCCTCAACTGGTTCACGGTCAAACATGGAATACTGATGCCGACCACATGATCATCAAAACCAGCCCTAAATTACAAGAAGGTGTGAAGCGAAAGAAGACCGAAGGAGAGAAAAGCATTGAAGAAGACGAACACGTTGCGCATGAGAAAGGGTCTCTTTCTGACAAGGGATCAAATATCGCGGAAAATGACCTGTTCATTTATGACGCTTCGCATGCAGGATATTTACACTTGTCGAAAAAGAGGCTCATTTTTCCAACTGATTCAGATTCTGTTCGGGAGCACTGCCTTCAGAATTCGAAATTCATCGAGAGTAGTCGGGAGCTCATTCCGTTGAGTCTTCCATGGATGACATCGAAGGAAGGCTCCATTGTAGGTCCTTCGTATTCCTTGCAGTATGCCACTGGCTCATATAACGTCGATCATGACTTTGTATATGGGCTGAAATGTGAAAAGTGGCCATTGCAAGCGACGGAGTGGATTCTTAGGGACAGGCCGCAATCATGGCCAAGTTTCGAGCAGGTTTCCGCGATATCATCTCAGGGTTGTCATGTCGTTCCGGTTGGTTCCCACATGAGCCACCTCAAGGAGTTCGAGTGGCGATTTTCCTTCTCTGTTGCTGAGCTGATGCTTGCTCGTTCCCTGACAGACGAACAAAAGTTAGCATACTCCGTGCTTAAGGTACTGATCAAAAGTGAGATGAAATTGCGTGACGCAGATGCTTTCGCCTCGTATTATCTCAAAACGTGTTTATTTTGGTTGCTTGAGAAGAAGGGAGTCAAGGTTTGGAATGAACAGAGCTTGGCCACAAATGTTCTTGAACTGCTCGATTTCCTTATTGCATTCTATGCCAAAGGCTCGGTGCCAAATTATTTTATTGCTAAGAATAACATGGTGGATCACCGCTCTCCTGAAGACATTTTGAAAACGTGTCACGCTCTGAGGGAAATCCGCGACTCTGTAACGCAATCTTTTTGTCATTACGTACAAAGCAATCAAGTACTGCCGGTTTTGTTTGATACATCGCTCACTCAGCTGCTCAAAGAAAACCCTACAAAGTTTCTCCAGAATTGTAAATACAATTTTCTAGTAATGGCTTTGGCTTATATTCTAAGACCCGTGAAGAAAGTTCAAATTAACATTTCGAGTCGGTGTCTCGAATCTGCTGCTTGTCTGGTGAAGAAGGCCGAAATTCTACACAGAGCTACTCGCGAAGCTGGGTCTCAAGGGTACACAAGGTTGCTTTCAGCTCTTTCTGACACTTTCACACCCGTTGAAAATCCAACAACAAACATGGTGCTTTCAATGCTCGAGGAATACTTAGCCACAGATGAGATGAAAGTAACGGAAACGAGTGCTGTAGCCTTGGCGGTGTTTAACGTTTTTTTAGCTCTTCATCCATCGCCTCTCCACAAGGAAAGTTGGGACAATTCTTTAGAGTTTCATGAGTACCTGGTAAACCCCATCTTCAAAGATTGCCTCTTCTGGGCAGCTCAAGTTCACGAAAGATATTGCGACGCTATCTATAACTTTGTCGTAAAGAAATGGGTTGATGGACCCAACTTTTTTACAACGGA